CTCTCGTATTTTACCTATTCTACTTTACTGCTCCCCATTAGTCTTTCCTGGGTTACTGAAAAAGGACTATACCATCCTGAGAAGGATAGTGAAGGTAGTTAGTAGGACTAGTGATGTAAAACTCAGTCAGCTCGTCATCACATTAGTAGAAAGGCATCTGAATATATGCGAATAATGGTCTAAAACCATACTCTCCAACCCCCAACACCCCTCTATTCCCAACTCTCTCCTTGTATCTCATCAGGTAGAACCAGAAACGAGTATAAAATAATATATGCTCGTACAACCAAATATAGGAACTCAACGATACCATATTTGGCCCATGTTCTAAGTGATAGAGACAACGTTAAGCGCGAAACCTATGACTTGCTTTGTTGTTAATAACATAATTTTGGCTCTTTTATTTCTCTCTTATTTGTACTATATAGTGAACACCTTCTTAAACATACTTAGCTACCTAAAATTATTAATATTGGCTTACTTTTTTATACTTTATTCTACTCCTTCTTTTGTGTATCTACTGGTCCAGACTGTATTATCACTATGAGTATTACAAAATTGTCCTGTCATTAACCATCATGTAATATTAGTTTTGTGATTGTTTTTTTTGTTCGGCAATATTAACTGACAATCTTGGCTGTGAACGCCGTTATCAGCATCTTAAAATTTTGTATTATGCAGGATTACTCACACTACAACTACAAACACCGCATTAGAGCTGACAATAAAAAAAAACCTGAAATGTTTATTTTATGATTATTTAGTGTTGCTCAATCAAATTAACTGATCATCATGGCGATAATCATTCTTAATATCATTTTCATAACTTCTTGTATGACTATAGCTTTTACTGTTCACGGCGCATACACATATCATAGCTTCCACTACCCAATACTGAGATATTACTTATTATGTTGTTTATTTTCCTTTCTACTTCTTGGTTTTTTTTGCATTTTTTTGTTATTGTGTTTTTTGTTGTCGTTGTTTTTATATTTATTTTTGAAATAATTCCTTTTAAACGTGCGATGAAATTAGATGTAATATTGTAGATATGTGCTGAAAATTCCACACTGTACCACTAGTACTGTTTTTGGAATAAAGCAAATTATTATAATTAAGAACTTATTACTCAACAAATATGAAAAAGAAATACAGATAGATTAAATCTACACTGAGGACATTAGGTGACATCTAATAGGAAGCGATGGGTTGGTCATGGTCCTGTGAGTGAAATGGAGGACGTCGTTTGCAAAGGAAATAAAAGTTAATAGACAGTTGTGGAGACAGCTGAAAATGACAGCAGACAGTTGTATATATTGAAGATGTGCTGTTGAAGATCTCTGTTCAGCTTTGAACAAAAGGAATGAATAACAATTAATTTACATCAATCTAGGCAAGTAGTGTTTACGTTTTTCTGAGAAAAACAACATAGTTACATAAACAACCAATTGTGTATCCCACCTAAGATTAGGGTTCTCCTACCATAGTATTGTGTGGAATTTCATGGATGCCAGATAACAAAGAAGTATAAATTCCTAGTGCATCATATTCGATCGACCAGTCGACAAAACAATCCTGCTTTTGAACACTATCGAAACTACAAGATGCCTTTTAAACTTATTATCATTCCAAAAACAATGAAGCCACTGATTGTGGTCTAAACACAAGTGAAGTTACTTGGACCCGATCCAATGGTCATTGAATTCTAACTTCTGCCAATTCACGACATAGCGCGACCACTTCGCGATGTCTTCTTCGATGAGTTACTGCCTCATCTTCAACCTGCTGTACCCTACTGGTCACGGCTTCCCACTAGAACCCTAGGTTAACTGCCTGAGTTAGAGAACCACTGGAATACCTAGGAGTACTGGACAGCTGTTTCGTCCTAGATGTCAGCTCATGACGAAATCCTCCATGCAATCAAACAAAATCCCTAAAAACCAATACTTGAAAATTAATCTGTGCTCACTAGTGACTGGCCCTATTCAGGCAGTTAACCTGGGGTTCTAGTGGGAAGCCGTGACCAGTAGGGTACAGCAGGTTGAAGATGAGGCAGTAACTCATCGAAGAAGACATTGCGAAGTGGTCGCGCTATGTCGTGAATTGGCAGAAGTTAGAATTCAAGGACCATTGGATCGGGTCCCAGTGGCTCAATGGTCTACGAGCTCGCCTTGTAACCAGAAGGTCCTGGGTTCGAATCCCGACGGGTGCGTACTGCTGAAGAGTCCCAAACTAGGACGAAACAGCTGTCCAGTACTCCTAGGTATTCCAGTGGTTCTCTAACTGATGTCAGCTCATGATTAAATCCTCCATGCAATCAAACAAAATTCCTACAAAACCAATACTTGACAAGTGAAGTTAGTAGCTGAACGGAGTGTGAAATTATAGGATTAAAAATAGTGTTTGCTGTTGAATTCAGAATATTTTATTTCCCAAAAATTCAGGCACATCTCCCTCGTAAATTACAGACGATTCTTTATGTTTTCAGGTTAGATCGCGAACTGATATCAGTTAGAGAGATACTGAAGACCAGGAATCAACAGATAGCCATTTCGTGCCACATTGAGACTCTTCACTAATGCACACTGATAACTCAACTAGGAATTGAAGGCAAGAACTTCAGTACTTTCATCATTCACTTACTAGGACGGAATCCAAAAGCTTTGCGATACACAGCTCAAACACCGGCCAGTGTTATCTGTACGTATTTTTCCTTACATTCGACTTGATATACCTCAGTAGTCTAAACATCTACTAGAACTCCATCCTACATTCCATCAAGTAGGGAATGAGTATAAATAGTTGTCGATAACATTGACTGGCCGGTAAAGCACTAGTTAAAACTTATGGGTTGACCAGTGAATTCCATCTCAGTGGCTGAATAGTCAGAGTGATAACCTCGTAACCTGAAGGTTCTAAATTCGATCCCTGGGAGTGGAATCATGCATGAGTACTGAAGAGTCTCACAAACTGAGACGGAGCAGTTATCCGGTACTCTTTGGAGGTTTTAAATAATTATCTATGCGATGCCACCTTATTATCTAACTTGAAATCTACAAAAATCCATACAAACTAACACTTGTAAAAATCCTTCAGGCACTTCAACTGCAATCAATATTACTGGCCTATTACTGTGACTTTTGAATGTGAATGTATTTCATCCTACTCAATATGGCATTATTTTCACTACAGTTCTACTTACTTCTTTCACTGATTATTATATAATAATAATAATATTTGAAAAAGCGCATGCCTGTGGAATGAACGCAGAATATTTAGTGAGAAATATTCGTCTACAAAAAATGGAAATCTTTCAAACTTATAAAAGTGATAATAAACGACTGAAGGTATAACTTCAAGGTCTGCACAAAAGTCTATCACGTCAGATTGCCACAGATTGGAAATGAATTTAAATGTACAAAGAAGAAACACAAAGAAAGTGGAATGAACACAACACTCTCCAACCATTGGATCTTAGCGTCTTGGGGACCTCAGCTGGACAGTCTGTACTGCCAAAAATGATTCAAACCAGAAATCAAAGAGTTTATGAATAGATCTGCTCATCCCAAATTTCATTCTCTATCAGATAGTGATTCGGTACGCGTAACACGTGTTCTAGCCATCTCAACAGATGGTTAAACAATTTTATACGCTGACTTTCTATCCACTTCCCAGCATGTTACCCAACATTTTATACCTAACCTTACTCTTACTGGCTATATTGTGCCACCTCAGACGAGAAATTGAACTCAGATCCCTCTAGTAAAAAACACTGAGGTAATAAATATCTTCACATCTTCCAATGTCTACGGTTATGTCCCACAGCAGTTATCATTATTACTGGAAAAACAAACTTGGTACATACATTGTGGACACTAAGGGATGCGCCATACAAAATCTTATAGTTTGTGCAAGATCAAGGATACTGCCCGGACTGAAACAGATGGTTGTCCTGAAGGCGCCACCTTCACCTCAAGAATTTGACTCGATCTACAAGGCAATGGAGTGAAAATCGAGAGTTACGTTCCCACGGCTCCCAGTGACCAAAGCATGTTCATACGCCATCCAGATTCTGGAGCCTATGTACACTTTAGGTTTCGAATCACAGTTTTCCAGCTCCCCTAAGTATACATGCATAATCACCATTCCGATTGTAAGGGCCGGACGTTTGGATTCACCCTTTCACTTTTGTAAACAAAACAGCTCCACCGCGTGAAGGCAGTGAATAGAACTTCCCTGGCAAACAGTATGAAAGTGTAGCCGCATGAGAGCGTTTCAAGGGGAAAAAAGAAGTCTAACCATTCTCAACGATACCACATAGTATTATGGAAGAATCCGGGTACACTGATAATAATAATAAAATCAATCTCTTCATCAAAATTTTATTTACAAAAAGAAAATCAAAAGTATAAATTTATCTTGTATAACAAATTTTTAGCAGTCAACCAGTAGGTGAGTGAGTGGAATTGGAAAATTCTAAATTTTATCTTGAAAAAAGTGGAAAAAACTGGCAGAATATAAATATATATATATATAATATTGAAAAGGGGTGTTTTAGTAAATGTTTAATGTAGAATAACGCTTAATTTGTTTTGCAGAGAAAATTCTCAGTGTTATCTGTTGACCTCATTATTTGAAAAACCGAATCACCCGAAGCAGATGCTTAATTCTCCAGGCTAAGAGTCGCACTTATCGTATGAGGACTCATATGATACTACGAAAAATCGTTGATCTAGCTTGTTGAAGTAGTAGTAGTAGTATTAGTAGGCGGAGTGGGACTGGAACTGTTGACAAGGAGAAGGAGACAATAACGACAACTCCAACAGCGGCAACAAAGTCAGCAAAAAAAGAGTGAAATTTCTGAGTAATGAATGGATGAATCAAATAAATGAATAGACAAGCAATAAATATTGGTAATTTATTGGGAACACAGCTAAGAGACATTAAGTCTTGAAAACAATTCACACGTTGGAATAGTAGATGAAAGATCATAGTCATTATTATTTTTACTATTATGTAACGAAAAACGTCTTGATCCAGCAGTACTTCTATCAACAGAATTATTCAATATAGAAGTATTAGAAAATACTGGTGGTTGTTGGTGTTGCTGCGTAATCATATTGAGATTATTATTATTATTATTATGAGTAGAATTATGATAATTATGCCCAGTCGGATATAAACTATGTGCAGTGATATGCATACTTCGACTAGCATTTGACTTTCCATAGTAGTGTTGGTGATGATGATGGTTATAAGTTCGAGCTGTTCGAAGGTGATATGAGCCCCGGTGACTACCAACACCACCACCTGCATTACCACTACTATTGATTGGAATTTCAATAGCACCAGGTATATTATCTTCTGCATCATCGCCATCGTCATTAACTTCCAGACCTATTTCAATTGAATTTTCACTGCCAACCAATGAACTAGTCTGTGAAGCTACATCCCAATCTTTATTTGGCTATATTGAAATATATAAAAAAGAGAAATCATTGGTAAGTAAAACTACTTATATTATATGCATATATATATATATATGAGTAGTTTAGAGAAATATTGTGGAGAAAATAATATGGCTGCATATGAAAGTCACATAAAGACATATCTAGCTAGGCCTCCAAAGCCTCAGTATGGTCGGGGGTGGGTGCCTTGCACTGCGGGTTGGCCACCCCTCCGTACACCTCTTGAAATGCTCCCATATGACCGGGCGTCTTTCACAGCCTCTCCTGAGGAAGTCCTACTCACTGCCTTCACGTGGCGGAGGTGTTTTTCACCGAAGTGAGAGGGCAAAAGCGGATGCCTGGCGCTCTTCACCGGGTTGACTGTCCATTGGATGACAGTCTAGGAGAGATGGCTAAACCCTGATTCCAAACCTCCAACGACTGGCGTATATAGCTCACCGGCTGACGTATGGACAAAGGGCTTATTGGATGCCCTGGATGTCTGGTCTCATGCAAAAAGGCGTATGAACTGGACTCCGGTCACCAGCTGCCAATGGATAGTGGACTCCCTACTCCACTCCTACTACTTTTTAGGTCACACTTGGTTGTGTAAAGGCTAGAGCTACACTCTCAAACAAAAAGCCGAGCGATGCTGGGGACATCACTCGTACCTAATTCCCATGAAACTTCATGAACTCTGGTTCAACAACGTCGCCTTCGGTGGTTTGGCCATGTTCGGCGCCGACCAGATGACGATCTGGTCAAATCAGTTCTAAATCCCTCGCCACTTCCATCTTGGCGATGTCGTAGGGGTGAATAGCTGAAAACATGGCTTGGTACAGTCAAGGCTAATATGGAGTGCCTGGAGCTACAAAACGTTTACGGTCTCCGTCTGTGGAACAAGACTTGGATAACCCTGTCGCAAAACCTTGCATCAGATCGTCACGCCTGGGCAGCGATGATTCGAGATGTTTATGAAGCCGGCTCATCCTCCCGTAGGAGATAGCCGAAGTAAAGTAAAGTAAGTAATATCTAGCTAGCTAACTAACTAACAACAACAATAATAAATACCAGTCACTATTGATCAGGAGAAATTTGAAGAGAATCACCTCCTTCATTTATCTATGCTGAACTGTTTCAAATAGAAGCAGTCTATATGGAGATTTGGAAGATAGGCTGAAATCAGGCCGGAAATCTATCGCACTACTACAGCATAAATAATAATATTTGGGTTTTCAACGACAATAATATCAAAAAATACGTATAAACAAACCTGACTGTCCATAAAGGCAATCTGTCCAGGATCTACAAGGAATACATCAGTTTCATTCATTTCATCATGAGATTTAAACAAATTTTCTTGAATTCTATCTATTTTCCTCAATTGAATCGCAAACCGATATGGGAACACACGTAGAAGAAGAACAACAACAACCAAGCAAAAACAACAGGAAAAAAAGTTAAACAATTAGTGGTATTTAAAAGCGTCAAAACTAAATATTACAAGAAAAATTTCAGAGACTATGTGACAAAGAAATTACATACATTGCATTTGTGTGAAGCAAAGTGATATGTATCCATATATATATATATATATATATATATATATATATGTTGGTCTCTCTTTCTGTTTGCTCGCTTAGTCTGTGACCATTTCACTTGTATGAACTTGTCTCCTTTAACAATGTATATTCTCCTTATATTATATATAATATAATATGAGTGTTTGTTGACAGTCCGTTGCTTAGTGACATATATCCATATATGGTGGTTGTTGACATGTCTGCCATATTTTGCTATATATATATATATATATATATTTCGTTTTCACAATTTGTGTGACTTACACACTTACTTACTTTGGGTGATACCACTTATTGCATTCTCCTTGTGTTTGGAAAATAGAAGTATCATCGCAAACCTAGTGGTCTTCTGATTTCCGCCTTCTTGCCTCAGGACTATTAAATTCTCGACCAGTCCATAACAATTTAGCGACGAGTATATAACACAAAGTTAGAAGGGTCTGGGGAGGGTGGTTGAAATAGATAAAGAATAATAACATTGTCCAGTCGACTAAGTCATAAAGGCAAAAGTTTCACCAACAAACCTATTTATCATCGTAGAACTGTTCACAAAAGTGAATAAATTCAACTGACCATTCTTTGAAAATTCACATATAAGAACTGTAGCTAGACAGAAATTGGAGGCATATAAACAAATAATAAGGATTCAACGAATCTAGAAGATAACAAAGAGTGAACTCATCTAAGCCAATGAGAACGACTTTTACCAGACGACAGTCTTTAGCTCTTAACATGAACCAACCAGAATAAGAAACAGTGAGATATGAAGAAACTGACTACTGAGCAAAGAATATTCTTATCGATAACTTCTTCATCAGGTTCTACAGTTATATATTCATCCATAATAATGAAAGATTAACAAGGGTTATTGACAACATTAACGCTTGTTAAAATAACATCAAAATTAGCATTGAAGAATCCTTCTACGTCACCATCTATCTGGTACCAAATTAATTCCCAAAAGCATCCAGGTACTGAAGACTCCAAACATAAGAGGCTATTGCGATTCGCTTAAAACAAACGGTGCTCTATGTGCAGAAGAAACAGTTCGAACTATTACTACTGCCCTGTCCTTCTGTCGAGACCATAAATTCATGAACTCTGTAATATTACTTCTCCAATTTGTCTGATATTCAGTGTGGTGTTATGTTGATGCATATTATCACGCTCACAGATGCTGTTCAACTGTAATCTATTCATATTGATTGAGTCAATGTTATTTTAACAAGCATTAATATTGTCAATAACCCTTGTTATTCTTTCATTATTATGGATGAATATATAACTGTAGAACCTGATGAAGAAGTTATCGATAAGAATATTCTTTGTTCAGTAATCAGTAATCTTTTGAAATTGCTAATGATCACTTTCGATCAGTAGATATGAAAAGGTTAACTGTCTTTGATCATTGGAGTCTGCATCCTAACTCCCGTGTTAGGTGGAATAATACGTTGAATAATATTGAGTTTAAGCGTAAAGTGTTAGGGAAAGAAGAAAGGAAGGAAGTCGACTAGATTTTGAAGCTGAATAGACTGAGATGATAAGGATATGTTTCATGCAAGCCAAGCCATCGGATTCTTCTATGGATAATTTTGGCTGACATACAATTAGGTTGGAAAACGGTTAAGGGTGATCAGATCAATACCTGACATCAGTCCATGAAGTATTTGACAGTTAGTTTGAACCAGTCACGAAGAGAGGTGTGAAGTGCCAGGTTGGGGTCCACGGGATAACTGGGAACTATTAATGATGTGGTTCAAAATTATTCTCAGTGACACACATGAATTCACTTTTTATAATCTCGCAGACCCATTAAATCCTCATATTTTTCCACGTTACTATTCTTTCTATCTCCTGTACACTTCTGCTCAGTACGGTTGTTTTGAATTTCTGTTTTCTACCTTTTCCCAACATTTGTGTACTATATATGGAGTGTGGAACAATGAATGAACTGCTGCACTCCTGTGATATGTTGAAACCAGTCAGATTCTTAACATATCGAGGAACATAGCTAAGTGACCTATACATCCCAACATAACTCAAACTAATGATCAAAGACCCGATGGACTGGTGTCATATTTCCATTCAACTAATCTGCTCATTGAAGAAGACGATGGTGTAGCATGCGTAACACGTCTACTAGCGATAACGGAGGGAGAGAGAGAGGGTGAGTGAGTGGACACTTAAACCTACATAATTATGGATGAACTACGCAATAAAATCTGTTATAATATTAAAGAGTTAAAACTTAATTTTATAGAACCGAATACGAATTGTTTTTCTCTCCCTTTGTAAACTGTAAATACTGAGTGTTAGCGCAATGCTATCAAACAATTACCATTTGTAAGAGTGAACTGATGTCTTCTGATGCATTATTTGCATTCCGAGTATAAGACGGTTTCAAACTTTTATGTTTTAGTGGCGATAGGGTCGCTAGCTCCATATCTGATTCCCTCCATTCTCTGGCCTTACCACCGGCTAGTTAACTAATCAGGCAAGGTTTAGGAGTACATCTGTTGATCAGGAACCAAACCGGGACCTCTCGTCTGTTGTGTGACCGTTCTACAACTGAAACACTGATGCACGAATATACAATCAGACTGACTTAGAATCTATCCCCATAAGCATACAATCATGACTGACATTTCACCAAAATTACAAGTTTGCTTTACTAATGAACGCTGGTAAGTACGAAACAAGAGACTAGACGACTACTTTCTGCTGATAAACCATAGACATCTATTACGCAAAACAGATTTTCTCATGTATGAGCCACATGCTTATTTGTGTGAAGGCAGAACTGACACCTAGAGAAAGTGAGTGGGATGGACTCGAACGCAGAGCCATTATTGCTAAAAGTTGAATGTTTAAACTTATGATTATCATAACAAAAATCAAATTTAATATGACATTTAGACAGTACTTTAGGAAGTAAAATGAATTATTATTATTCATCTCACCTAATATCTCGGCTTTATTTGTTAGTGTATTTGCAAGTATCGCATCGTTCAAAGTATTTTCATTTTCATAGTTAAGGGATGATGAATCACATGTTTTAACATTTTCAGATATAAATGCACCGGTATTCTTCTTGTTACATTCGACCCCAGCAACAGTGGGAGATAGAGAAGAATGAGGTGAAGAAGGAGCGGGATGATCAGAAGGCATAGAGGCAATAAGATTACTACTGTTATTATTACTATTATCATTATTCTCAACGTTGTCACCGTTTGTGTCACCACTGATTGTTTGATCATTGTACTTCAATGGATTCTCGTCGTGGAATTCATCTTCATCTATCCCATTGTCTGTTTTCGTTTGATAATTAACAATAAATGGGAATTCAGAATCTTCAGTTGAGTCCAAATGGGAATTTAAGGCATCATGAAGTATGTTTAAATCTTCCTAGATTTTATAAGAGACAAAATGAAACATTATATTTGGGAACTGTGTAGTAGAGTTTGATTCCATTGTAATGGAATAATTTCAACTGGTAAATGCACACAGTGATATAGCAGTGTTTACTAATAAGGTTTGGTGCACAATTCATTACTCTTCATAATCATATCAATGTGTGCTCATACAACTTTCAAACCTTGTTTATATACTTCCATTATTTATTATCCAGTGCTACTATACGGATCAGAGACTTGGCGCGTCATAAAGGGCATCTCAAACAAACTACAGACCTTCATTAACAGTTGTCTTCGCTCAATACTACTCAAGATCAGATGGTCGGCCAGAAAAGGTCAGCAGTAAGGATCTCTGGGAGCGAACCAACTGGGAACCGATTGTAAAACAAATAGGCAGGAAGAAATGGAGATGGATTGGCCATACTGTGAGGAAACCATCAAATGACATCACTAGACAAGCCCTCTAGTGGAACCCGAAAGGAAGGCGGTGAGTTGGTTATCCAAGGGTGACTTGGAGGAGGTCATGTGAAGAGGAGATGAAAGCATGTGGGTAGACTTGGAACCAGGTGAAAACTCTAGCAGAGAACCGAACGCAATGGAGACGCGTGGCTGAAGCCCTATGTTCCTCTAGGAATTAAAGAAAATAATAATAATAATTTATTATCCTTAGATTTTACTGGTGGTAATATTTCTCATACCTCTCGAATTGTCTTCCCATCATTTCTACTGCATTTGTTTGGTGCACATTCAATGAATAAAAATGTCTTTAATCAAGCCTCTCTGTCTACACTCACCTATATTACTTTTCAGAACTGTAGCTATATCTTCTATCCTATTTTGTGGTTGTGTGTTAGTGCATGCGTGGAGATTGCGGAGGTTTTCTCTTAACTATTCGTCTTGTAACGCCAGTAACCGAGAGAATGGATAACGGGATTTTGTGATAACTTGGTACACATATATAGACAAAATACGTCTATTATATCGTAGAATCACAACTTGCATATGTCTTCGGTATTGTGTTGCTGCTTCGTCTTCTGTATTGTTCTTCTTTGTCCTCCTTTTATGTTTCCCATGTTGTTTCTCAATCACCTTTTATTAAATCCATCTGTCTATCATTCGATATTCTTGACACCGACATACATATTTATATCTGCATCTTGTCAGTAATATCCGACACAATTTTCGTGAGGTGAATCATTTTGCCCTTAATGAAATTCCTATTTTCCGATAATCTAACTGACCTCAATCTACTGGTTTGACTCATGTGCTTGGGTTTGCAGTCATTGCAAAGTATTTTGCAGGTTAAATGATTTTCTCTAACTGGGCCAAAAGGAAGCTACAGTTTTAAAAAGTAATATAAGTAGGTAGGTGGGCAGAGAGGGGAGAGAGATTGATCGCTTAATATTTGTTCATCAAATCTAAACAACCAACATTTGTAGTAGGAATGATACGACGCCAATACTAGAGATACAGAAAATATTACTATCCACAAAATCAATGGATAAAAAATAATGGAAGTATGTACACAGAATTAGATAAAGTTTACTTGAGCACCTTGATGCTGATTACTAGCAATGAATTATGTTCACCTTGCATCTCTTGTGACTCTTTCTGGAATGTCAGATCATCTATATGTTAACTGCATTCGCCTACGCAAAGCCTTTGTTCTCATTTTTCTCACGACCAATATCGGGGACATAAACATTGACGTAAATTACTTGTCCACCAATTTGGACTAACAGCCAGCTCTCACCACAACTCCAGTCAGGAAACCGTTAATAAACAGGGAATACTGGTAGGTGTTTGTCCTATTTCGAACCTCCAGCAGTACGTGCGCATGACCTCAACGCAAAAATTGGCAGAAGTTAGAATTTGTGGGTTACCCATTGGATTCTAACTGACCCAGCGACGGGATAGTCTACGGACTCATCTTGAAACTTGTAGGTCCTAGGTTAGATCTTCAGTGGTGGGGACATGGATGCGCGTACCGATGCAGAGTTTCAAACTAAAAACAGAATAACTGTCTCGTACTCCCTGTTTTGAAACTTGAACTACATTATAAAAAATCTCTAAAAACAAAAAGTAATGGACAGTTATTTTGTTGCAGTTTACAAAATATCGGCGATAGGCATTGAAGTCACTATTCAAAGCCGATGGCAGGACTGCGCTTTAAGTTGTAAAGTAATGGTCAAGGTCGTGAAATTTCTGCCAATCAGCGATAACCATCATACTGTTGAAACAGAAGTTATGAAAAAAGACGGAGTATTACCGTTAACAACAACAGATAACTAGAGTGTGTCAAGTTCAGTTTACTCACCTCAAACGTCATATTCAAACAGAATTCAGTACCAAGTTTATTGAGGGTTATTCTGTTCGCTGATGATTTATTTCCAATGTCACGAAAATCACCAAGTCGACAAAAGAGACAATGGACACAAAACTTCAAGCGAACAGAATGAAGACACCTAACCAACAACAACAATCGTCAATCACCATCAACGAGAGAAGTCTAAAGGAAGTCATCTTTTCCACTTATTCAAGCAGAATCGTTCCAACTGCATGCGAACAGTATGAATGAGGATGTAACACACAGGAACGGCAAAATAAAACAGTCCTTCATTATCCTGCAATCAATGTGGAAATCTACTGCACTCAGAATAATGAACAAGATAAGGATCTTAAACTGTACTGTCAAGTGAGTCAATGATTCAGTTGTGTTCTGCATGTATTTGGGTCGTTTCTATGTGAATATACTTTCAAAAGTGTTGTTGATGGAATAACTTGTTGGGAAAGTCAATCAAGATTTGAAGTAACCCATTAAAATATTGGTTATTAAAGTTAAATATTTTCATTCCTTCATTGAATCTCTCTTAGTTAAGAATGAATGATATCAGCCTATAAACAGTCAAAAACTACAGTTAGAAATATAAAACAAAAATAGAAGTGAAAACATTATTCAACATATGCCTACCTCAATACACTGCCAATCACCATAGATAGAAATGAGTCGTTGCCTTTCTGATGCTGAAGTTATCTCCAATGTTGGTATGAAACGATGCGGTGTTTTAACATCATCACCATCTTTGGATTGCTGTTGTTGTTGTTCCTCTTCTTTCTTATTTTTAACGCTTTTTTCACTATCAAATTCTAATAATTGTTGTTGTAATGGTTCAACTGGATGTGCACCAAAGCGTAGACCTCTTAATACACTGACAGCTGAATAATAGTCTAATGAATAGATAGTCATGAGATAAGCGGCAACAACAGCTACATTCGCTGACATACCAGAGTCACTAAAAAACCAATAAAGAAGGGAAAGAAATCGTTGTTCAATGAAACTTTATGAGTCATTCACAAATTATAGTTCCTCTAGACTATTGACGTATCAACTTTGAGTGCAAATGCTTTGTGATTATTTTGATATTAATTTGATGGAATCCAGAATGTGCCTGTGGCCGTGTTTTCTACGACTCATCAACTGGGTGAAGTTAAACTTTGGATACCTAAAAGGGATGGACGCACAAATGACCTTAACGACTCCGCTAAAAAGCCTATTTGGGTCTTTATCACAACTCTAACCTTTCCCTAGTCTAAACATGACCTTATTCTTTCCCTAACCTAATCTACAAACTAACCAGATATCTTAATTAATATCATTGTACTTCATTCAACACTTCTTGTTCATGAATATAGTCTTATTTACCTGGTTTTACTGCCCTGCTCTAACTGAAAGCGTCCCACAGTTATTGATGAGTTCGCGCCTGTTCGCCATAAACTGAATCTACCTGTATCCTAAATGGGTGGTTGAGATGACAAGAAACACATGTGTGGTTATTCCACTACCAGGCAATATCAGGCACATCAAATCTGATATATTTCTGTGCTTCTCAGAATACAACCAAGTGACTGTACACTCATATCTATATGAATTTGAAAACAGTTGGTTCCTATTATAAATGTCTACAAAACGCTAAGAAAACGAAATTCACCTGGATTGTGTAATGTGTACTTGTGCAATACATTTTTATCAATCTGATCAAAAACACACGCTTACGATTCATAGAAATTTATGTTGAAAAAAAGTAATAAAGGATTGAATGCTTACACAATAGATATAAGTCAAGTTAAAAGGCAATATACAGAGGAGTGTAAATAACAGTGTTAATCAACAAACCACAGAAATTGTAGGGGGATAATAATACACATATCCTGATGTTAAAACAAAGAAGGTTTAGTATGATGACAAACTGTTTCCAAATACATACAAAGGTGATTGAAACTTTCAAATCAAAGTAGCATTTCTGCACAACACTTTATAAATATGTTTAAAAAAATGTATAAACATCAGCTTTATGCCATGTATTTTACAATATGTTTCACCTTGGAAGAACTTGATCCTCTCTGCTTCTTTCTAAAATAGTTATGTGCCTATCTCAGATTATCGTTGAGAAAACTGAGTGTTTTACAGAAAAGTAAGAATATCATATTTGACCGTCGACACTACATCAAGAGGCCTAGGAAAAACATTTGTATTAATATTTTGGAAGAATTGGAGGAGTTTTCACAAAAATGAATGGAATACGGTAACGTTAGGGTATTATAGCCAAAGTCGAGGTCTGCAAACAGTTGACCTTCAATAACAAATCAGACTTAGGCCACGCTATGAAAGATCATTCCCAATTAAAACATGACTACTTTTATCGATTTGGCCAGGGTAGATACAATATTCTAATTATTCCCTAAGTATCTTTACTGTAAATGTATACTGCTGGGTAGTGTTATGTGTTTTAAGATTAAGGTTTAAGTTAGAATTAGGGTTAAAGGTGGGATTATAGTTAGAGTTAGCAGTAGGTCAAAGAACAGTGTCAGAAATATCAATCGATCTCAAAGTACTATGACCTACAGTCACGTGGAGGAATGCATAGTTGCGATAGATATATCATGCATCTTACGATTTCTCTATAGACCACCTATGCAGTAGCAGAGAGACATTCTTTAATAATAATAATAATAATGATTTACTTTATTGCAAAAACAGTACTTGTGATACAGAATGGAATTTTCAGCATTAATCACAATATTGCATCTAATTTCCTCAAATTATAAATAAAATTAATCACACAGAAAATCTTCCACATTTACAATAGGGGTAATGTCAAAAGCATGCAGCATATAAAGTGGAAATAATAATAATGATAACAGCTAAGGTAAAAATAATAATAGTAATACAAGTGAAAATTGCAGTGGGCTTGTTTCACACAGTATTGTCAATGCGGTATAGAAATCCTAGCATGTTTAAAAATATTGAATATAACGTTCTCTTTACATGATATGGGGAGGGGAAAAACAAAGATTACAGCCGTCATGGAGATAAGTTGGTGTTTGCAATTCTGAGAGTAAAAAACAGAGAAGTAACAGGACCATAAATATAATAGAAATAATAGAAGTAAAACTTGAAGGTATATAAGGATGGATAGAGGAAATTGTTTATTTACTAGATGAAAAAAGGTTAGTTAATTCATGCCTGACACTATTTTCATCACATAAAATACGTGCCAAGTATAGTACCATAGAATTTCTATACTTAGACGTGCGAGCATACAGTTTTCTGGAGTTCCTTCTTGTTCTACCTGAGGAGATGCAAGGTGAAAGCTGAGGGTAAAGTGGATGCTCCAAGTCAGACGAAATCCCTCTAGCAAATTTATTGCACGAAGTCAAGTGCCTATCGATAACAACATTAACTATGTGGTCCACTGGGACACCAGTCACCCTACTGACCGTCTTCAGCATTCTACGAATTGTGACATAGTCCTTTTTAAGCAAACCAGGAAAGAATAAGGGTGAACAATAAAGAAGAAGTCACCGCTGGGTGACATCGCGCGTCAAGCCCTCGAGTGGAACCCGAAAGGGAAGTGGCGTGTGGGACGTCCAAGGGTGACATGGAGGAGATCGTGTGAGGAGGAGATGAAACAGTATGGACTAAGATGGATGCAGGTGAAAAGTACAGCAGAAGACAGAAGCAAGTGGAGACGTACAGTTGAAGCCCTATGTTCCACTAGGAACCCAAGGGAGCAATAATAAATAATAATAATAATAAAGAATAGGTAGGATGCAAGAGTTTATGAACTGTAAGAGATGGGGTTGAGTTATACCCGAGTGCCTTAACTTCTTAATGTAAAATGTCAGGCGGAATATTTTACTGGAGATCGCTAAGACATGGGAAGACCAGGAGAGATCAGAAGAGAAAATAAGTCCAAGATACTTAATTTCTGATTGTATTCCTATATCACTGTCATTAATCTTACAACTGTCATGAGAATCGATGACTTCTTTTAACTGTCTTTTACATCTTAAGCTGAAATTAACAGTTTGACATTTAGAAGGATTCAGTTTAAGACCGTTAGACTCAGACCATTTACTGACTCCCAACAGAAACTATTTATTTTGGTACAGTCTAGCTGGGAGTTAACAGACATTGAAACTGTTAAACCATCAGCGTACTTCACAAAGTTTATTTCATCAGAGTGAGGCAAGTCATGCAAGAAGAAAGAAAAAAGAAAAGGAGAAAGAATAGCGCCTTGAGGGACACCAGCTTCAGTAGGCAGTGAAGTGGAAGACTTCCCTTTATATACGGTGTACTGCTTTCTATCTGAGAAATAGGAATGTAACCAGTTAACAGTCCAACATTCTGTTTGACTAGCAGCAAGTTTATTTAATAAGATGTCCCTAGGGACCGAGTCAAAAGCAGATGTATAGTCTAGGAAGGCACAACTAACAAATTTAGCCCCCTTGTCTAGACTGGAAGCAATATTATGATATAAGACGGCAGTTGCATCTAAAGGGCTTACAACACATACGCGACAGTTGCATAGTGTAATATCATGTTGGCAGTGGTTTTTAGTGTACTTTCAACCATTATGCGGAATTTTTTGTATCTGAATTCTGACTAGTTGTCCAAGTTCATTTGGATCTAGGCTCAAATAGTTTAACTTTGACTGGAATACTTCATATTTAGGGAATAAATAGTTACATTTTAATATAAAGCGATCAGTCCCGTTTATGAATTTCGACAACACAATAATAAAAAGTCTGTAGTTCTGAAGTAGACACGAAATCTGGTTATCAACTAAGGTATGCGTGTACTCTGCAGCAGTTCGCTATGTCATTCTTTATGAGAGATACAGTCATTAAAGATGCATCTTTGACCACGGATGTTTACGTTCTACCTTTCGTACTAAGTAATATAATATGGGAAGTAATACTGAGGTTAAGCATACAGTGCTAGATTAGGAGAGATTGTTAGGACACGCTGACTGACTGGTTGCACCAATGTGCAGCAGTTAGAGTCGCCACACACCATGTAACACACAAAGTAAGAAAAGATAGTAACATGGAATGCAAAATATTAACAGTAAACAGAGATATGAGGCAAAAAGAATGGTAATATCGAAGGACAATAGTTTTATTCGGTATTATAAGTCACAAGGAGTGCATGCATCTGTGCTGTCAATGAGAACGATTTTGAGCCATATCACCAATTGTCTCCAGTTTTCATTGGTTTTTACTGTCCCGAGGACCCCAACTAGTCGGGAAGTCTACACCTTCCTACGTGGGGACGTTAGTGAGCATCTCTGAAGGATACCACTAGTTGTTACCAGTTCAGATGACAATTCGCCGTAAACTCTCACCTGGCTACAGGAGTTCAAGTAGAGTGCCTTAATCAGAGCAACGTATTTCCTCGGCATTCCCTTCACAGCCAAACATCGTCAGAGTGCCTCTCGGTCGAGAAAAATCAAATGCCGCCTTCATGTCAAGAAATATAACGATTGTTGGACGCCGGTAAGAATGCCTATGTTCCAGAATCAGTCGAAGGGTGAAGATAGTTGGTTAGCACTCAGTTACTCCGGTACCGCGTTATGAGCCATCCATCAAAATACTTAAATTCCTCTGGATTTCTTGTTTTAATCATATAGTTATATCATATGGTGACTTCATGAACTCGCGCAGATATTGAATAAGTTTCCGAGTAAACACTGTGGAATTCTTGAAGATAATGAAGAAAAAGCTTACAGAATTGGTTCCCTATTCATATGCAAGAAAACTACGTCATATGATATACTCCAAATTATTACTTTACACGTAAATCCTGTGTAAAGATGTATTTTGAAGCTAAATACACTGAAAATTTCTGTACTATATGCTCACACATATTGTCTGAAATAAAGCTGTATTATTATTATTACTATTTTTGGCGTTACTGAATTGCAAAAATTCCAACCAATAAGAAATAGTA